CCAGTCCTGGCAGCTCTGCTTGACTTCACTCCAGCTGTGCCCCACTCCAGCTGTGCCCCACTCCAGCTGTGCCCCACTCCAGCTGCACAGGGGACAAGCCTCAGAAACTCTTCAAAACTCCAAGTGCCAGTAGAAGAGATTTTCAGATAAAGCTATAAAAGTGATATTAAAAGATTGCTGGGACCAGCCGGTTTCACTCAAGAGCTCTGAGGGAACTCAGAGTTGAAATTGCTGACCTATTCAGTACAATGCCACAGCAGCTGTTGAAATGGCGAGGCACCACAGGAATGGAAGGTGGCAAATGTTACATTAATTCTTAAAAAGGGCCTTTAGAGGTCATCCAGAAACCTGTGGGCTGGGAAGCTGGGCAGGACAGATTGACAGAAAGCATAATAAAAAGCAGGATAGCTGAAAGTGTGATAGAATGGGAAAGAGCAAAGTTTGTTGAGTGAGAGCTCAGGCATTGCAAATCCGTTTGTGTCAAGACCCAGGTAATTTGACGTTTTTGTAAAAAATCCAGCTGCAACAAGGTGGAGAATAATCTCAGAAAACTGAATGGCAGGTTGATTAAATCACCTATGAAATTCACCAGCAGCAAATAAAAAGTGAGGACTGTGAGAAATACCAACACAAGCCACACTAAGACCATCAGGGGCACTAAATTAATATCAGGCAGGAAGAAAACCTCAGTCAGTGAGTTTGCTGAAAACTCCAGCTTACTCCTCAACAGATGTTAGCAATGCTAAAAAAGAGCCTTAAGAATGACTACAGAATTAAAAGAGAATGAGAATGTTTCCTTCTAGGAATGCTGCCTTAAACACAGGGTGTCCACCAAGGAGGATATAGAACAATCCATGAAGATACAGAAGAGATGAGAACTACAGTCAAGTCCTTCTTCTTGGCCACCTCAGCTGAGAAGAGATGTGAGAGAGATCCTGGCAACTCAACATGGAAATGTGATCAGGAGACCATCCATTATTTGTGGCTGTTGTCACAAGGGAAAGGCAGCACAACCCAATCTATTGGGATGGAGTCTAACATGAAGGAAAGGAAGTACTTTTTTCACACAATGCAAAATTGAATTATGGCACTTGTCACAGGATGCTGTGAAGACCAGAATTATAAAAGAATTCCAGAAGGGGCTAGCCAATTTCTTGGAGGCTTGACCCATCTGCAGCTGTTAAACACAATGACCCAAATGCCAGTCAAAAATTCCCTTAACCACAGTCTGCTCTCTACTGAGCTGGTAATATCACAGAGGAATTGTGCTATGCTTGCCATGTCCTTACACCCTTTACCTCACAGTCTGCTGCTGGAATGAGCTTCCCAGCTAGCTGGACCTTTGCTCAGAGCCATAAGACATATTACACATGGCATAAGATGTTCATTAAGAAATTGGTATTTATTGCAGGTGTTGGCCAAGTTTGTTCACCTCACATGAAAGTTTTGTCTCTGGCAGGTGCTAATATCCGATACCTTGGGAGAAAGGCATTTCTGTCCTAAAAATCTATCATGCCCCTGGCAGTCTGTACCGAAGACCAGCTCCTTCCTGATCTCCCACAGCTGCTCTGCTAAATCCATAAACCATGACAGTGGATTACCTTTATCATCGATTTAACTGTCACCACTGAAAGTAGTTAGCAGTCATGAAATAAGCCAGCAAGCGCATTTGAAGCAATGCCCTCCCGAGGCACACATTTCCTTTTATCAGTTTTAAATGAATTCTCCTTCATTGCGTGACGTGTGCCTTATTCTCACTTTGCAGGATGAGTAAAAAGGAAGCACCGATCACTTTCCATCTCCTGCACCATAATTTTCGTTCGCTCAACTGCTCTCCCTTCTGCTGCTTCCCCCTTCCAGCTGACACGGGCCAGCATTACACAACCATGAGGGGTTCCTTGCCTTGTAGAGGTGGCTGCTGTGCTGGGCACAGTGAAGGAGAAGGTCGTGGGGATGAGTTATGGATCACCTGCAGGAGGAGAGGGGCAGGTGAGAATCCCTCGCTGCTGTAGCTGGACCTTGGCACCAGAGTGCTTGGCTGGGTGGCTGTGCTCAGCCTGCTCAGTGCAAAAACAGTCTGTGTTTTTCACTGCTACCAGTCTGGCATCTCCTGCCAGCTCTAGGCATTTCCTTTCTGAAGAAAAAAACAACCAAGGTTTGATCATTCACTTCTGGGGTTGTGTTAAACTTGCCAGCATCTGTTCCGTTTGAGCGGCGGGGGAAAAACACCAGTTCTGGACTGGGAGAGAAAGGGAAGGTACCAAGTTGTAATGTGAGAAATGAAAGCAAGAAAAACAGCATCTTGAGAGATGTTAAAGACAAAAACAAATGCTGTGAACAGGAGCAGAGACAGATTTCAGAGGAAAGGAAGGAAGACAGTGACTAAAGCACCAAGAGTGAAAACAGTGTACACATGGAAACTGAGTCCAGACTCCCAGCGTTTCTTTGTACTTGTTTTTCCTACCATTTCACAGAAATCATGATGCTGGCAGGATCCCTCTATACCCAAGGGTCAGTGATGTCAATGAAAGTTGGTGGAGCTGCACTGATTTGTATCCATTAAGAAGCAACTTTCTCAAATTTCCCAAAATTACTGGAGTTTAAAAGAATGCCCTGAGAACCCAGCTGAAAACAACAGTAAGGATTATCCTTAATTCAGGTCATACCAAAACCTAATTCAAGATTATTTAGAATGCATCCATTATTTTTTGAGACTAGCAAAATTCCTAACTTTGGATGTTCACATTGAAAACACAGACCTGGAAAAACGTGTGTGACACTTTTCTACCAGTTCAGGAGTCACAGCAAATGCACAAAGAGCTCTACAAATTTCAGTTCAGCAAACAACTGCTTTAGAAAAAAAAATAAGTAAATATTATCTCCGATTCCCCACAAGCTTCTGTTTAACTTCTTGGGTTTACCTTTCTATCCCTTCCCTTCAAAATGTGATAGGTGGATTTTAAAATAAAACCTTCAGGATAGAAAAAAAAGGGAAAAAAAATTGATCCTTAATTTCTTTTAAAAAAACAATACTGATTGTTTTTTGGGTTTTTGGTTTGGTTTTTTGGGGTTTTTTTTGAGTGTTTGTCAGGTCAAACTAAAGCTTGTCAATATTTAGGAGTCCCTTTGCAGACAAAAGCCTTCCTTGCTCTCATTGTGACTGCACCAGCTGAATACGAAAAATGTTCAGTATTTCTTTAACTCTCAAGTTATATTTTGCAAGACACAATCCACTCTCCCCTGTGAATCCCTCCCTCCCCTCCTTCCCTTTGCTCTCTTATCTGGCTGGGGCTGTCTGAGCTGAAGGTGACACTGGGGGAGGGAGGGAGTGTCCATCTGGTGACTCTCCACCACACTGGGCCATCCCCACTGCCTGGATCTCTGCTCCTGCTGCATTTTGTAACCCGATTACCACAGACTTGGTGAATTCAGACAGATTGCCTATCAGCAAAATGCTCAATATCCCATTATCAGATTTGTGGGCCCCCCATCCCTCTTCATTTAGGATGTAATAGAAAGTGTCAGTAATGTCCTATGGACTTTGTATGCAAATCTAAGTGCACTGGGTGAAGCTACTCCACAGAATCACAGGCAGGACAACAATTTTAAAACCTTTTTTATTTAAATATTAAATAAAACACATCAACTAATCATTTTGGTGTACACCTCTCATTTTAACATAAGAAATAAAATGATTGTTCAGTCATGATAAAAAATAAACTATACATCTCAATTAAACCAATCACGTAGTGTCTTTAAATACCCTATTGCATTGCAGTCTGCAGAACAGCACTGTCAAGATATCTACAAAAAAAAAAAAAACCAGACTTTTAAAATGACCTCTTCTGCTCCAGCAATAATTCCAAAGAGGTTCTACAGCAATTGGAAAAGAAAAAAAAAATACTATGAAAGTAAAGTGCTTGTCACTGTTCAGGACAGGAAACAAAAGAATCTGTGGCCTTTAGATCCATGGCATTAAACAAAACACAAATTGAGGAGGAAGTTCTGTGGTTTAAGTATGTGTGCTACCCCTTACAAAACTGAAGGCCAAGTTGCTGCTTTGTGACAAGCTGGTTTTGTCTTGCCCTCCACTCCAGCCATCTCCATCTCTTTGTTTGGACTGGGTTTTTTGGGGGGTTGCTTGTTTGTTTTCTTTTAAACCCACACTACAAATGAGCGTGAGACTTTGGTGTTTTCTCTGCTGCAAGGCACCGCTCATTAACAGGAGTTCAACTCGAGCAATTTTCTGTCACTTTGAAGCTTCCAGACCATGGAGCAGCAGTGGCAAACTGGAGATGCACCAATACAGACACACAGATACAACACACAGATAAAGAGGTTGTTTATGGAGAGCCACAGACAGAGCCACATGACATCTTCAACTCTTCCTACTCCCACCAATTAACCTGGTCAATCTTTGGCTTTTTTTTTTTTCCCTTAAAAAAAAACCAAAAAAAACAAAAAAAACAAAAAAAAAAAGAAAACCCAGAAAAACCCAAAACAGGTCTCTATATTATTTGCAAATGTGTAATACTGCAGGTTGCATGAAGCCAAGGTAACTTGAAGGCACCCTGTGTCATACTAGGGAGATGGGTCCTTTAAGCATTTAGACAGAATGCAACTACACTCTGACACTCGGATGGCAGCTCCCAGCCAAGCTGTCTCACACTGTCTGCTCACCTGCTTCCAAAGTTTGCATGCACTCCCCAACTCATGTCTGTAGGAGCACAGCCTGTCCTCCCCTTTATACCTCAGCAAAACCTCTATTGACACCAACAGAAGTCATGTTCTGCCTCGGGAAGGGAGTTGGGGTTTATACCAGAAACACAACAGAAGCATATTACAAAATATAAAAAATAACTAGTGTTATATAGTTTTCTGCTTCCTATTTATATACATATACAGCATTAAAAACCATACGAAAAAACAGCTATCTAATGCAAAACCTCGTTTTGCTAATATGCCAAAAAACAAACCAACCAAAAACAAACACCCAAAGATTGTGCTGTTTTACTCACTTTTAATACAGTTTTGTTCAGAACAAGCTGTACTCCGTTAGAGTAGAATTCTGTTCTAGCCTATTCCTTTTGTCTTTGTCAGTATATAATTATAACCTCAATATTGCACATTTCCCCAAGAGTCAGTTCTGTTTGGACCCTGATAATGAAATGCATAAAAAACATAATTAGCAGCGGAAATAACAATGTGCAGCACTAAGAAATACCCCTCAGGCAACTTTGTAGGCAACCTCCAGGAGGGATTTTTAAAAAGAAAACCCATCCCATTACCCCACAGGTGCTGCTGCTTCCCTCCTCAGTGCCTCGGCAAGAATATGAACAAACTTAGAGTTTATAAAAAGATTCCTAAAGAATACCCAGACCAACAAAATATGGGCATGTGTGCACCTGTGTGTATGTACACACACACACCACTCTCAAACAAACATCCCTGCAAAAGACCAGGCATTATGCAATTTGGATCCTGATTATCAAGGGATACATTTCCAATAGTTACTGCTTCTGTACTAATTAGAAGGGCATGCTGAGCTTTTCCAGCTGATGTATCAAGCAAGAAGTTCACAGTTTTCATTTAAAATATGTGTATCCGGGAGGTGTGGAATGGGGATGTTGGTTCCTTTAAATAAAATGAGTGTTAACAGGAGGGAAAAGGAAAAACAACAAATGGCAATGCTTCCATTTTTGTCTCCTATGAATGCATAATGCTGCATGCCACTGGTTTTCTGTTTATTTTTTTTTTTTAAAGAGGTAATCATCTTCACAAACCCATAAATGAATATTGTGAAAAAGGGAGGCTCTGGTCCCTTCTTTGAAAAGCCTCTCCCTGCTGTGTCACCACTACTGACAGCTGCTAATCTTGCATAACAGCAGAGCTGTATTGGTCTGACTTGAGTACAGTACCGAAGAGTTCTTCCCCAACCACATCCCTCCCTGCCCCCACAAATGCCCCACCCATCTGCCCCATCATTATTTTTTTTTTTCCTTTAAAAAAACAAAAAACCAGTTTCTATTCGTATTTGTTCAGTGCAAGAATAGTAGAAGCAAAAAGACATACATATTGCTTGTTTCAGTCCTATAAAGTTGCCTGCTTTACCAGGCAGCCTCTTCACATACTTCAAAATTTATTGCTTCTGAGAGTCACTCGTCCCCACGCCGCCAGTGGTGAAAGCTCCCCGCAAGGAGAGCGGCCCGAAGCTCTCACTTGACCAGCACGAACTTGCCCAGCTGGCTGGCAGTCAGGTCCTCCATCTCGCAGTCCCCGTGCTGCAGGGCGACGCCGTCGTAGCCCGGCGAGGGCGCGGAGAAGCTCTGCTGCTGGGAGAAGCCGGCGGCCAGCGGGGGCACGGCGCCGCTGATGTACAGCTGCGTGTCCAGCAGGTGAGCGGCCGACGACACCGGGGACACGCTCACCCCGAACAAGTGAGGTTGGAGCAGCTGGCTGCTGCCAGCGAAGGCCAGCTCAAAGGAGTTCTCTCTTTGCAGCTCTGACAGCAGAATGGAGTTGGAGGCTTTGCAGGTACCCGGCCCGTCAGAGGAGGGGAAGCTGCTTGCTGCAGGTGTGTGGGAGTGGGGACAAGCTGTTTGGAGTAGTTGGTGATGCTGGAACTGGAGCATTCTGAACAAAATCCAGGCGGGAAGAGGTTAATTTGCATTGCTAGGATAATTCCATGTTCTATTCTTTCCTTTCTTGCCCCTAACCTTGACCATAACTTTCCCCTTTGTTTCCTTCTCTCTATCAGACCTCTCCTTACCCCAGCCAGTACAATCAAAGCAAGCTGCCCGTGCCAGACTCTCCCTCATTCTGTAGAGGGCAACTGTCACAACCAAGTTTATCTGGTCACGATTTGACCACCTAATAATAGATGTTCTAGAGACAACGTGTGCAGATAAACCGGAAGCTCAATTTTCCATCTTGCTTCTATGGGAATTAAGAGGTGCCACCACATATGACATTTGAGGCCACTGGAACTGTGCCTCCTTTGTGGGCTGTAACTTTTCCAAATTACAAGGTCTCACTTCCTTGCCATGGGAAAATTACAGGAGGAGGCAGAGAAGGAAAGAAATCATTCCCAAAACTAACAAAGAAAAACACAGCTTGCAGTAGGGAGAAGCAATGTTTTCCCCCACACTACCAAACTGCTTCTCAATTCAGCAACCTCCAAATATTTGAACATCGAGATTTTTGAGTGGAATTGCACGTCCTCTGTTACATGTGCCAGGGCAGGAAGCCACAAAGGAAGCCAAGCAGTTTACCCACTGCCACACAGCAAAGATGGACGACAGGAACCCCCAGTGACCAAACCCCCAAACTCTTCTGCTGTGTTTACCCCTCCTTGCCTACCCTTAACGCAAAGTAAACACCAAATGAAAAGGCACCAAAGCTCCTCCCTCACCTCTGCTGCTGCAGCACCTCCTCCAGGAAGCTTCTCCCCTCTCTGCTGCTCCCGCTGCTGCTGTACATGCAGGTGCTGGGCTGCGTGTGCTGGAAAGGGCTCATGGCACTCCTTGCTGCCCGAGAGGAGGAGGACTGACACACCTGCCGAGCAAAGCCTTTGATTTTATTCAAGCCGAGGAACCCCTTGGCTCGAGCGTTCTTCCGCAGCTGCTGCCTAAAAGCCTTCAAGCCTGTGGGACACGAGGAAAAGAAATGCACTTTAATCCTCCTCAGCGTTTGCCTACAGTACAGATCAGCTTTTCTGGGCACTGCCTTCCTGGGTGTGGGAACTGGGCTAGAAGAGACCCAACGTTCACCCTCTGCCTGGTGGCCAGAGCAGGATCTAGGTAATGGAACAGGGGCTGGGACAGCTGCACCCTTGTGTAGATGGACATGCGTGGCAAAGGGAAAGCCTGAGAGAAATCATGACGTTGTACACTCCATATTTTAGGAGGAAGGTGGAGCCTACCATCCCACTCACGGCAGCAGAAATATCTCCATGGGCAGGCTGAATCAGTGGCTGAGAACCTTTCCTCCAGGCACCTTCCCCAGGGCATCCCACCCTCCCTCAGGGCCCATGAACACGAGAGGCAGAATATCCAAGTGTCCAGCCACAGTATAACAAGGGCAGCAAGTCTCCCTGCACCCTACCCTTTCCCAGTGGCTGTTGGGAGGGTGCAATTCCTCAGCAACAAAGCCAGGAAGGCATTACCTTGAGTTAATGAGGTATCAGATGCTCTCCTTCCTTCTTGGAAGCTGACAGGCAGGAGAGAAGCACCTCCCATGCAGCCCTGGGCTTGTAACACGGGAGCGTCAGACTGGGAAGCGAGGAAAGGAGACGTCATCCTCGCTGTGGCCGGGCTCCCCGTCATTACTTGACCTGCCAAACAGCTGCTCAGGGCCACTGAGCTGTCATTTGAAGATGAAGTAAGGCAGCTGTCTGAGCTAGTTCCCTCTGTGGGGCTGGCAGAGGAGGAAATGACTATACCTATGGAAGGGAAGGAAGGAGAGAAAGAACATTCCCAAGATGAGTACAGGAAGGAACAAACATGACATCAGAGCCTTCTGCCCACCTACACTGGCACTAATAAACAGCCTCGAGCTGGAGAGGTGTCCAGCAACTCCTGTTGTCCCAGGGCTTGACTCCAGCAAGAGGTCATCAACAAATAACCTCAGTTTGGGCTCCCGTCCAGCTGGCAGGACTCAGCCAGCATCACCAGGCTGTGCTGGATCAGGCACGCAGCGTTTCTTTAGCACAACCAGGACGATTGTTTTGTGAACAGTTGTGCTTATTTAGTTGGTTCACAAACCAAATACAATCAGTGAGGTGTTTTTTGTTAAATTCAGGCCCTTTCTCCTCCCCCAGAAGGAGAACAACAGCAGAAGCAAGCAGACCAGGTTTGTGACCTGCTTGTGAGCATGCTCCCCTCTGAAGAGATCTAGGTGAAATACAACAGCACAACTCCTTTTCCCTAAGGGCCCTGCTTATCTTTAGGAAGACAGAACTGCGGAGGGGAAAGTACAAACCTCTTTTCTAGGCTTTCCTACCCCAGTCAAGGTAAAATCAGCACGCTCTCCCTCAGCATTTGGCTCTGTGGCACTCCTTCTCTGCTCTTTTCCCCTACCTACAGACATCCTTCATCTCTCTCAGACTTACTTACATGGAGGGACATGCTGATAGAAATGGGTGGTCACTTCAGCCAGGGTGTGCCTCCTGCTGGTGTTGCTAGGGATGCAGATGGGGTGGTCAAATGCCTTAATTTCATCTTCCAGCTCCTTCTCTTGCCTCACTTCCTCACTGATGGTGGTCTCCAGCAGGCTGTTCGGGGAGATGGAGCGGTTCCGGAAGAGCCCGTTGAAGTTGGTATCCACAGGGAAGAATACAGGCTGGAAAACATGCCAGATCACAGACTTTAGGGTCTTTTCCTAATTTCTGTACTACCTTTTAATACTCTCCACAATTCTGTGGCATGTCTTCCGTAGGAATATTGTTTGAGAGGCTACGTGACAATGTGCCCAAATGCCAAACAAAACATAGGAGAGAGAGAACAAAAGTCACAACCCCCATTGTTGTGGATTGGCAGAACAATGAAAAAAAAGAAGCAACACAGAGTTTAGCAGGGAATACCAACCTGTAATGGATTGCTTATGTCACAGTCCATTTCTGCCTGCAAAGATGGCTGAATCAGGCTCTGAGGTTGCTGGTAAAGCAGAGATGATCGCAGGGTTTCACTAGTGAGACTGTCCTGAGGCATCTGGAGAGAAAGCAATGCACAGAAGCCATCACACACACTGCAGTTCCACGTGACTTTTCAGATACCAGAGAGTCACAAAATTTCAGAGACACCTTCCCTGCAAGCTCTCTCCTCATGCTTTCTATGAAAATGAACAAAGCTAATCTATCAATGCCAACACAAACACAGAACTCCTCCTCCTAAGTAAGGCAATTTAACTGGAAGCGCAATTTGCAAAGGCACCCAAACCACGCTTTAAAAGGGGTGGGGGCGAAAAAAATAAAATGAATGTCAGAAAAACACATTAAGTGACTCATGGACTACTTCTGAAGAACCTACAGGATATGCAACAAAGAAGCATAACCAAGCCATGCCTAAAAGGGCAGATTTCCCTGAGAAGTTTAATCCTGTGGCTCATTATTGACCTGCACTGGAGGCAGACTATTCTTTGGACCATGACCCGCGGTCACTTCCTAGGAAACAGAGCATTAATATTCACTCAGCCTCCTGCTGAAGAACAGCAGGCTGTGTCCTGTCGGAGGGCACTGCTATCAGAACTGGTTTTCAGAAGCTTGGCAGCTACATGGAAAGGGAGATCCAAAGGTGCCTCTCCTCACCTCGGCGTTGGTGATCTCGGAGCTCCTGGGCCGCGGCTGCCGGCCGGCTGCTGGCCGAGCGGACACCTGGCTGCTCCGGTACTCCTTGAGGCGCTCCAGGAGCAGGTAATAAATGGCAGCAAAATGGTTGTAGCTGCTGTTCTGCAGAGACTGGAAGACATTGGAAGGGCCTTTTGAATTACAGGATGCAAGCAGACAAAACCCATCACTAAGGGTTCGGAGTAGCACACTCAAAAAACCACGCAAAATCCGGAAGGGCAGTGAAGATTTTATGCTGTGACACCAGATCAAGGCCAGTCACTGAATGACTGCACCACTGGTGGTCACTGGAGATGGATCTAAAGGGCAAGAACTCACCTCCACAGTCCTCTGCCTGTCGATGCCAAGGGTTTGCATGATGCCAAGGACCTGCTCGTTGTAGTCGCCCAGATTGGAGTTGTAATTTTGCATGGAGAAGCACAAGGACTGCTGCTGCTGAAGGGAGGGGTCAGCCTGCATCCACTTGTGCTGCTTTATCTGGGAGATGGTTATCCGCTTGGTTGGGTCCACAACCAGCATCCGTCGGATTAGTGTTTCACAGTCTGGGTGACAAAAACAAACTCATGAGCAAGGGGCAAAACGTAACAGCCCAGTCCCAGGTCACTGCTAAGAACACTTCCCAGCAACAGTGTAAGATGCCTATGAAAACAGGAATTAAATGTTTGGGAACAGCTGATGCGTGATCTGACTGTCAGATATTCCAGACAGCACAAGAGATGTTCACATTCATATGACAAAAACAACATGTCACTGCAGGAAATGAAGCTGTACTGGATACCAGGTGGCCTTGCACCTTGTACAAGAGCTGGTCTTGAGAGGATGCAGGTTTGATGGCATTACATGCACATAAAAATAAGTCAGATCTTAGTACAGAACCCCATCACATACAACTTCCTGGTCCTGGCCCTAAAGTGCTTATTTACTTATAACCAGGAAATAAAGCTGTTCATGGCTATAACTGATAAACTTCAGACCTCAGCAGATAATCTCCACGTGACAACAGAGGCACGTTCACTCAGTTTGGAAACCAAATCAGAGAGAGGTGATAACACTCTTCACTTTCATGTTTCTCATCAGACTGTTGGAGTTCTCAGGAAACACTGCTGAGTCCCACTGTTCCTGCTCTCCTTGGCAGCACAGCCCACTGGAATACAACCCTTCAGCATAGCTAAAATATCTTAGGAGAACTAGACCTATGTCAGCATTGCAGGCTAGTCTCATTAAAATCCTGTCTCCTCCCTTTTCTGAGCAATTATTTCTCCAACTAGGGAGTCGAGTATTTTTCTGATCCATAGGGATATTCTAAGAAAGGAAACTACAGCTTTTTAGATGCACCACAAAGCAGATCCCAGAAAAGAAAACATCTTCTGCCCTACAGAAACCACTGGAGACACAAAAGCAAAATAATTGCCAGCTGCAAACTGCATAGCTCCTCCTTTGTAGCACCTGTTTTAACATTAAGGATCTGAAAAAAAGAAAAAGCACCTTCAGACATGAAGTATGGGATGCGGAACCGCCCCTCCAGCACTCTTTGCCTCAGAGTTGGTAAATTGGGTCCATCAAAAGGCAGAGAACCGCAGACAAGGACGTACAGAACCACCCCAAGGCTCTGCCAATAAAAAAGAGCACAGCACATGAGTGACTCCAGGAAGAACAATGATTCTGAAGGCCCGCAGACCCTCACAAGGTGTGAAACGTAGTTTCTGAGGAATAGCAAGCTCACCCATATATCAAGGTGAGGGCCTTCATATTCTTTGCCTTCGAAAACTTCTGGAGCTGCATAGGGTGGGCTTCCACACCAAGTGGAGAGGGGCTCTCCCGACTTGTAAAAGTTTCCAAAGCCAAAGTCTGAAATAAAGGTGAAAATCTTGGGTAGCACAACACTCAACCACATACTAGTATTTCAGAAGTAGCAGAAAATTGAGAGAAAGGAACAGATGTGTTGCTTTGTTTTCTGCCTATTAATTTAAGCTATCCCCTTCTGTTCACAAAATCTGTTCCAAGAAATATCTGTAACTATTGTTTTATTTTCACTCGCAGAAATACAAACACATTTACAGGATCATCCTAAGGAAGCCCAATGTCGAAACAACATGCCTGAAGTCCTTTATAAAGTGATCTCCTATTTCCTATTACCTGCTAATTTGATATTCATGTTAGCATCCAGCAGGAGGTTCTCTGTTTTGAGATCCCTGTGCACGATGTGGTGGCTGTGACAATATTCCACTGCTGAGAGAATCTGCCAGAACTTCTTCCGTGCTTCGCTCTCGCTCAAGTGCCCGTTGGAGGTCAGGTGATCTGCGAGTCAAAACCAGAGAGGATTTAGAAACACCCCGAGGAAATTTTTCATAATCCTGCAGGTGCTGCCCTTGCTGTTTGACAGCTGGCAACACAAGCCCTAGGTTTTTTAATCAGAATATATCTGTTACTCAGGAATGACAAAAATAAAGCCATGGTTTCTAAATTTAAGGAACTTTGAGCTCCATCAGTGAGGACTTACCAAACATTTCTCCATTCTTTGCAAACTCAGTAACAATGTACAGCATATCCTTTGTCTCCATAACCTGTGAAGACATGAGAGAGCATGATTAAAAAAAAAAAAAAAAAGCAGCAGACCTCTATGGTTTCATTTATTTTTCTATGTGAATTCTCAAACATATCCATTCAAATTTATATTTGCTGCAGCAGCTGGCAGTAAAAGCATCTCATTTTGCACCACAGAGTTCTTTCCAAGCAAACTGGTAATGAAAAAGATAACAAATCAAAGCTTATGTGCCTACATTATACAATGGCTTGCCAGGCCATTGTTCTTCTCACCATTACCAAGCTACCTAATCTCTGAAAGAGAGCAGATGAGCGTTTAGATAATTTCATACACTCCCCTTTTGTTAAAATATGCATATATATTTTTACAATTAACATTACATACTTTGAGCATGCAAAGAGGTTTATCTAAAGTTGTCTTTGTTTCAAGGCTAGTGGGGGCTCAGATCAGCAGACAAAGCAAGAAGTGGTATCAGATCCCCTGCTCCTGCTTGGAGTTGGCTGGGACATGGGGAGCCTCCTGTGCAAGTGATAACAGGCTGCTGTTTGTGTAACAGCAGCGCTTGATGCACATCAACAACTGTCAATGTATTGCCTATCAATCCAGTATCAACTTGCTTTGATAGTTCACAATATTTGCCTTTGGAGGAAAATAAAGAAGAATAACTAAAATCCAAATCATGAATGAGAAATGCTGAGCATTTCCAAGTTCATCTTCAGTTGCCACAGCACACCTTTGAAATGTTGCATTTCAGAATACAACATTTCACTGAAAACATTTCCCTCTCAAGGAGCAGATACTTTGTTTTGGAAGCAGGAGGCTCACAACAGGTTAACAATCCAAAAAACCTCAATTCTACTTCAAAGGCTGTAACTTCCAGGCTCCCAACATGTAACCTTTTTCAAAGACTCTTGTCCTCCCCTCACTACAAGTACACACAGACACGAAATGAAAATAAACAAACAAGGAGCAAAGGAAGAGAGGTTCCCAGTTTAAAAAACTGAAGGAAAGTGTTCTGGGAAAGTTGCCAGCTGAATGAAATTAAGACGCGGTGCTGAAACTAAAACAATGATGAAATAATACAAGAACACACACCCTACTTTGGTATGTCAACTAATTCCATCTCTGCTTCTCAGCCTCCATCAAACAGGTAAAGCATCAGTTACAACAACAAAGAAAAGAAAACTTCACTGAAAAGAAATTATGGTCCACTACCAACGTCATTTGCTGCATCAAGTGAAGTGGTTCAACGAGATGGAATTTAACCTGCTTCTCTAAATGCTCTGAAACAGTATTTTCACCCACATCATTCCACTGAAATGAACTCAACCGAACTGTTAGAATGTTTCTGTATGTCCTATACTGCCCCTGGGCATCCCTGACGTCAGCCCTTAACACAGAATCATTTTTGTTATGATGGGTAACACTATAAATACAAACACTTCATGTGTGTCAAGGTCTTTTAAAATAATGCCTTGCCTATGCACCTCCCTTACTGGCTCTTCAGCCTTACATGTTAATTAAACTTTTTTTTTCTTTTTTTTTAATTAAGCTAACAAACCCAGGAGTAAGATCGCAGCTGATAATAGTGTTTACTACTGCACATGGACTTTCAGACCTGCTGCTTCATCCATCTCCACCTTTCTCCCCTCTGCCCTTTTAGACAGGTCCAGAAAGACTGATACCTCTGCCCTGCTCATGGCAGGGGCTTGCACCAGGTGACCTTTAAAGGTCCCTTCCAACCCAAACTGTTCTGTCGTCATCTTCTTCTAAAATCCACAAGGCATTATTTTAATGATTAAGAGGAACTTACACCAAAGGCTACTTAGATCTAATGTTTAGAATTTGCAAAGCAGTCCTTGCTCACAAGACAAATGTGATCCTGCTTTCTGCACAACACATTAATTCGTTCCCACGGTTAAAAATATCCAACAGTGCAGAAACTAAACAAATCTAAACCGAAATTCATGTTGTGAAATTCTGCAGGGGAAAGATACTTAAAATTCACTTTCAAAACTACACAAACTGCACCAGAACAACCAAACAGGTGATTTTTTTGCCATATTCTAAGATACCAATATTTACCACCTTTTCCTTTTTCACTAATCTAATTCTTTGATTAAGTTTCCACTTAGACTTTCTGCTTAGATCTATTTGGTTTGATTGTTGGCGATTTTAAATCCCTTCCACTTAAGGCAAACTCAACTTTAGTGCTTCCTTCTCTACCACCCAATGTGAGTTTAAGTCTTCCTCTTATCTAAAGCACGTAAGAAGTTCCAGTCCTCTAAACGGGGAAAAGCAGATAGGAAAAGCAAGTTAATCATAGAAGTTCAGCTAACCCGTTCCTCAGTCCGAAACAAAAGTCAGCCTGGTTTCAACTGTAGATTTTACAGTGCATTTTGTCACAAAGTTGTCTAATACCAGAATCTTGTTCAAAGAATGAAGAATGACTTTGAAGACATCCAGTTTACTTCAAACGGTTTTCAAAAAGTATTTCAGTATTTCGATATGCTTTCCCTCTACAAGTATTAGATGCAAAAATCACATGCAAGAGACCACAAGCATATTTTATCTACGTGCTGCACTTCAAAGGTGGACTCTTACCTGATATAGCTTGATAATGTGGGGATGATTCAAAAGCTTCATTATCTGAACTTCTCTATAAATCTTCTCCAGATTGCTTGGGTCTAACCTTGTTTTGTCTATTATTTTTATTGCAACCTGCAAATTTAAATAATAACAAAACAACCTCAGGTATTATAAAACAGGTACTCTCACTGTTAAGAGATCTTAAAAAAAGAAAAAAAAGACACACCCCTGCACAAACACACCACTCACAAAATCCAAGTAAAGCAGCTTTCAAAGTAGCTTTTAAAGCACAGACTTGACAAAGCTGATCCTGTTTTTCTGAACTGCACAGAATTCACGGCACAGAACATTTTCGTTTTTCTTTTCTACGTCAAAGGATTACACGTAAGGTAGCGAACAGAACTGCAGAAATTAGCACTGGACAGGATTCTGTAAATCTTTTAATCCGTCCCATGCCAGTGAAAAACAGATTCCTGCAACAGACTATCTCCTGCTCTAGTGACTGAGGCGGTTTTGACATGCACCAGAAATATAAATACGGCTGCACACCCAG